GGAGCACTGGGGTGTGACATGCCAAGGGCTTTATGAATGCCGGGCAAGAACTCTACTAACATCCCCTAGCCTTGTCAACAGCAGCGGCGGCGGCGGCGGCGGCATCATCATCATCATCATCATCATCATCATCATCATCGCTATTCTTGGTTGTCAACTTGACTACATCTGCCATGAACTTAAACCCAAAAATGGAGGGCACACTGTGAGGGGTTTCTGCCTAATTTGAAGTAGGAAGATTCACTTCTAATCTGGATCTTTGAGGTGGGAAGGCACACTTTAATTCAGATAATCCACCTCTACTCTGGGCCACAGCTTCTGCTGAGAGCCTATATAAGGAGATGAAAGAAGGAAGCATTTGCTCTTTGCCTGCCTGCCCTTCCCTTGCTAGCAAGTCCATTCATTCACTCCATTACAGCCACTTCCTTGGGATCTCAGCTTATACTGAAGACCACTGGAGGCATCTAGCATCATGGACTCAACTGTTAGATTTCTGGATTTTCCATTGGTAGACTGCCATTGTTGGATTAGCTGGACCATAGCCTGTAAGTCATCCTAATAGTCTATCTGTCTATCTATCTATCTATCTATCTATCTATCTATCTATCTATCTATCAACCTACCTACCTATCTATATTCACTCTATAAGTTCTGTTACTCTAGACAATCCTAGCTAACACAGTTGTCACCACCACCATCACTGGAGTGCTGTCAGTGGACCCTAGGGCCTTTTTAGAGCAAGTGAGCTATCCAAGGCATAAATATTATTCTCAAGACTGGAAATAATGCCTTGATGATGGAGCACTCACTGGTTGTGTCACCTGATGTATTGAAAATTAAACAAACAAACAAACAAAAACAAAACCACGACAGCTTTTCTCTCTTAGAGGCTGCTCCTTGTATGGTGTCCACCAGAGGTAAATTCTTGAATACCACCATACCACCACCACCAGAAAACCAAATACCCGATATGCAAGGCCTCTGGTTATTGTAAGTCATTTCTGAATATTTTGTTTTGTTTTGTTTTGGTCTTACTATGTAGCTCTGGCTATCCTGAACTCCACTGTGCTAAGCAATTGATGGGACTCCATTGTGTCGTTGCCAAATAAAGGAAAAGGAGATTTCTGCCTGTACAGTTGCTGGTTTTACAGTTGAATACATTTGTTTTTTTAAAGGCAAGCTCTCCTGTAGCATGCTGGCCTTGATCTCTCTATATCGCAGTGGATGACCTTGGGCTCCTGCTCCTCCTTCTACTCTCAAGTGCTGGGATTACAGGTGGCACCAGCACACTTGGCTTACCGGGCACAGAGATGCAAACATGCCAGGCAAGCACTCTGCCCAAGCCCAAGCCCCAAACCTGTGTCTGGATACTTTTGATATGAGTTTCTTCAGTCTTAGAGGGAACAGCAGGTGTTGGGGTGCAAGCAGTAGATTCTAACATTTGTGTGAGGTCATCTGCCTCACATTAATGGTTCCTCCTACCTCCCTCACATTCGTTAGTCCATATTTGTGCTAAAACTTCAAAGCACAGTAGGGAGAACTCAGCTGTAAGTGGTTCAGGGTGACGTGGGTGGCAGGGGTGTTGGTGGCTCTGCTGATAACACATTAAGGTCATTTCTCCTCAGCTTTCATCAGATGCTCACAGAGTCACTCGAAAGAGAGTGGGGAACCACACAGCACCAAGACAGCTCTATGTCCACAGTGAGGAAGGACTCCCCTAAACTACTCAGAGGAGACTGTGAGGTAAAGACTGTGAAGATGTGCTGAGTGGATAAGATCAGATAAGGCTGCCCCCTCATCTTGTTCAGAAGGGACTGGAGCAGAAGAAATGTACTCATTTGTTTAAAAAGGTGACTTATACCAAGATCCCACACCACTCACGATAGTAAGAGATGAAAAAGCAAAAAAGCAATCTGAAACTGGGCAGAAAGGAAAAAGCCACCGCTGTATGGTAAAACAGAAGAAGAGGAAGAAGAAGAAGAAGAAGAAGAAGAAGAGGAGGAGGAGGAGGAGGAGGAGGAGGAGGAGGAGGAGGAGCAAAGCCCAGAGAGATCGAAATCCAATGCAGAACCTAGGCAGGACATGGTGAGAGGTTGAAGCAGTAGAGCCTCAGGGAAGGACCTCTTCTATAAGCCTGAAACTACTGAGCAAAGTGAGTTGAAGGCCAGCTGGGGCTATGGAGCAAGACCCTGTCTTAGATCAAACCATAAATTAATAAATAAAAAATTTCACAAAGTTCAACTTAATATATATTTAGCCAAATACAGAAAACAAGCAACACAGAGAGAGAGAGAGAGAGAGAGAGAGAGAGAGAGAGAGGAGAGAAGAGAGAGAGAGAGAAGAGAGAGAGAGAGAGAGAGAGAGAGAGAGAGAGAGAGAGAGAGAGAATATAAGGAGACAAATAAGTATAGCTAAATGTGGTATTCCATGACTGAAATTATAACACTCAGAGACTGAGGCGGGAGGATTGCTGTTTCAGGCTGGTGTGGATTCCATATTGCATTCAGGCCATCCTGGACTACAGAGTCAGACCTTGCCAGAGTGAAGGCTTAGTGGTTAAGAGCACTGGTTGCTCTTGCAGAAGACCTGGGTTCAGTTCCCAGCACCCCTCTCAGCAGCTCACAACTGCTTGAAACTCCAGCTCCAGATCTGACACTCTCTTCAGGCCTCTGTGGGCCTATGCACAACTGCTTCCCACCCCACATACATATATAAAAATTATAAGTAAATCCTTAAAGACTAAACAACAACAATAAGTGTAAATGGTACAGATTCTCTTATTAAGGGGACTCAAAATTGGATTTAAGCTGTTCACAAGTACACTATTTTCAATCTGAACCCCTAAAGCCCATCTGCTCAGTGGGCAAAACCATGTAGCCAATGCACCATAACTAAATGTAGCCAAAAGGAGGTGAGGGAGCAGTACAGACTCTGGTCCAAGCAAAATTCAACAGCAAGTACATGCACGGAATAAAGAAAGTCACTCTGTTTCACAGTGAAGATAGGCTGAGTGGGGTAGGTGAGTAGGTAACAGCGCCTCACCATTTGTCATTCAAAAATGTTGAAAACATGAGGAGAAGTAGACAGAAACCCGCCTCTTTTTCATCTTTTGGATTTCCCTAAACTTGAGAAGGCAGAGTCTTTTTTCCATGATCTGAAAGGTAGGAGCATTGGTCCTATCTGCCTCTGGAGCTCTTTGCCACCTCGTGTCAGTGTGGGCTTTATATATGTCACTAGGAAACATCCTAGGATCTGAGATATGTTTTACCTTGTGTGTAAAACACACTATATTACCTTCTTTGAACACTAGAGACTAAGTGTTGAAATAGAGTTTGCCCTGTGGGTTTGGATAAGTGTTTATGAGCCTGTCATAAAGAAATGTTTGCTTGGCATGGTGGTGCATGTGTGTGATCCAGAACCTGGAGAAGAGGCAGGAGAATTGCTGCTAGGATGAGGCCAACCACTGAAGAGCGAGTTCCAGGCCAGCCAGAGCTAGAGTGAGATCCTGTCAGAAAAAAAGATTTAGCGTTTTTTTTTTTTTTAAGGCTTTGACTTATGACATACAGTCATAACTAATATCTGAGTGGACATGGGTGTGTGTGAGTGTGGGAGAATGTGTGTGGTTTATGTGTGTATATGTGTGAATATGTGTGTGTGTGGTCTGTGTATGTATGTGGTGTGCACGTGTGTGTGCGTGCGCATGTGTGCGTGTGTGTGTGCGTGCGTGTGCGTTGTGTGTGGTGTATCTCTGTGCACACACTGAGAACTGACGTCTTTCTGGCTCTTATATTGCACTTTTATGTTTCCATAAATCACACTCGGTGATTATAATGCAATAAAACCAGAAATTTATAACCTGAGCAGGAGTGTCTAACAGCCCTTTTCTAAATTAGGTCAAAGCAGAAGAAAAGACTGAAATCATAGCTTCTACATTTCTGGGTATGGTGATGCTGCCTTCTGCCCCCAAGTCTAAGTTCTTGTTCTGAAGGAATAAAGAAGGAAGGAGAATGGGATCAGGGAGCCGAAGGCAGCTTGCTCAGCAGCAGGAGGCTGTGCAGCTCAGACCTGTGGGGTGGCATGCTCTGGGAGCCCAGCTCTCCTGAGAAGCCTGAGAAAACAGAAATGGTCTTATAAGATGAGAAGGAGCCCTCCACAAAGCCCCGGGAGCTGGGGAGGTAGCGAATTGGTAACGTGCTCTTTGCACAAGCCTGAGAATCTGAGTCTGACACCCAGCACCCATGTACAAAGCTGGGCACAGGGCTGGCAAAATGACTTAGTGAGTATTGCCAATAAGCCCGATGCCCCGAGTTTGATCTCTGGTACCCACATGGGAGAAGGAGAGCATTGACCTCTGCAAGTTCCCCCTCTGACCTCCCAGACGCCATTAAACAAGAGCTTCATTGGAGGATGGTTCTGTGATTAGGATTTTATACATGTCTCTTACAATGGACCTGGGTTCAGTTCCTCACACCCATTTCAGAGGGCTCGCAACCACCTGTCATCCTGTCTCCTGGGCTCGTTGGCCAGACAGTCAAACCTAATAAGCAAGTCCCAAGCTAGTGTGCGACTGGGTCTCAAAAACAAAACAAAACAGGACATCTGAGCAGTGACACCTGAGGGTGTCCCACAGCTTCCACAGGCAACCTCCCTCACCCACATGCACACAGACATTGAATAATCCCGAGGGAATTGCCCCCCAGAAGATGGTGTTCCAGCCAGACTCCTTTCTCAGTCCCAGAAGCTGAGCTCAGGGGCCGGGTTGCAGGAGATGGTCTTCTCACTGTGCCCTCACACAGTAGGAAAGGAGGGAGAGCTCTCAGTGTGACCAGTTCCCTGACCCAACAATCACCTCCCAATGGCCCTGCCTCTCAATGCCACTCTCAGGGACTTGAGAACCACACATGGATTTGGAGAGACACAACATTAGGTCCACATCAACCCTGTCTTGTGGGCGGCAGATAGTTCTAAGTGACTCTTCCAGAAAAAGTTTTAGCACCTACCTTTCCCCACCTGTGCCTGCCATGCTAGCGCTTTCTCTGCACTTCAGTAGAGCTGGCATTTGTAAAGAGACACATGGCCCCTGCTTGCCTTTGAAGGGCCAGGATGGCACCTGTATGTGCCTGGTACACACAGAGTAAAAGTATGTGCAGTACTACTCCACACCCTCCAGGGTGGCTATGATCTACAGCAGGGATCCTAAGCGAGTACAGGCGGAAGCAGAAGTTGAGACACTGGGAAAGAGGAAGCCAAAGACAGGGCATATAGATAGAGGCTGCTGTGGTTCCTGGCATTTGCGCAGCCTGGCCACCCCCCTCCCTGTCAGGCCAGGCAGTTGTCTTGCTTCTCTGCTTCTGGCTGCAGTGAAGAAGGTGATAGCCAGGACACAGAGCCTTGAGGCAATGGAGGAGGAGCTGGGTTCTGGGTCCCGGTCCTCCACTAGGATCCCAGCATACCCAGTTCACACTGAATGGTGGCCCACCCACTCCTGTTCATTGAAAGGCATAGGCAGAGAATGCAACAGGCATGTGCTTACGTCAGCTCCTGCTATCTGCCTGGAAAGGACATGCTTCACTCTGCCAGGGCATGCCCCTCTCATGCCCACGTCAAATCTTGGTCGGGGTGAGACCCACCCATGAATCTGGGTGCTGTATGGGTGAGTCACTATTGGCTTTGCCCCAGTTCTGTCAATAACAGAACCCCACTGCTCTAGGTGCCCTTGCAGTGTAAGACTGGAAATTTCCTGATACCATAAGTTGGCCCTGAAGCTAACTTCCTGGGCCACTATCCCTTGTCTATGAGACGCTGGCGGGTGCCATCAAAGACCTGGCACCCTCAAAGGACTGGGACCTGAGCCCAGGTAGCAAGGAGAGCTTCTGTAAGTTGGGGGTGGGTGGAGCTACTGGGGCGGGGCTTTGGGAGGGCAGGGCTATCTGAAGGATCTGAGCTGTCAGGGGGTGGAGCTTAAAGGTAAGGGAGTGGTTTGGGGCTGTGTGGCTTCACAGCTCGGGTCTGAACCCAGGGCTTTGGCCTGGGATTGAGAGGTCTGGTACAAGGTCAAAACCAGAGGTAAGACAGCCTGGGTGCTGAACGACCCTGGAGGGTCCAGCCTTGGGCACCTGGAATTGACCAACTTCCGGTGGTTCTGGTTGTGATGCAGCCTGAGAACACCCTAGAGCCAGCACCTCTCCTTGCTCTAGGATGGGTTCTATAGCCTGATTTTCTGTATTGCCAGCACTCCTGGTTACTGTACTCTCATTCATTCATTCATTCATTCATTCATTCATTCATTCAGCAAACATTGGTGGACATGAATGCTGGGAACACAGCAGTAAAGAAGATGAACACAGTTCAGCTCTGGACTTTTCTTGTCTGTGGGGAGAAATGGGTATAAGGCAGAAGCCTCAGCTCTAGAAAGGAGGTCATCAGAGAAGAGTGCTGGGAGAACGGGCCTGGCCTCAGGCTGGGAGACAATGGGGGGAAGGTGCCCTGCCACGGTCAGACAGACCAGGATCCAGCCTCCCAGAAGCCTGCAGGGTGTTGGGCCCCAAGGCTCCTAGACTCACACGTCTTTCTGAGTTCTGTCCTTAGCCTGGTACTTCCAGCACCACCAGTCCTCAACCCAAGAAGCTCTAGGGACTTCTTGTGGGGTACAAGAGGAGGTGAGCACTGGCTGATGGCCTTTTTAACCTGTGCTGTTTGAGGCACAGACCCTAAGAAAGGGGTGGCTTCTGCACTGACCCTCTGATGTTGTGTAGTGTGTGGGGCTCTTAGCCCCCACAGTTGGTATCACTCGCCTGTGATCTCAGTTCAGACCGTGTCAGGCGGGAGTATACGTGGCCCACGGTAGAGGATAAATAGTGGAAGGAACACGGGCTTCAGGTCTCTGGTGTTGATTGGGCTGTGGGGGATACACCCCATGGAGCTAGCCACCTGAGGTTCAGAAGTGCGTCTTGGGAGAAATGAGTCTTACAGAGAGGCTGCAAGAACTGTCAGGGGCTTGGCAGGTGATCAGATGGGAAAGGGATGTCACAGAGGAACAGCATGAGAAGACTCAGAGGCAGTGAGGGCCATTGTAAGCCTTGCATTGCTTGTTCACAGGAGCAGGGGAGTGAGCCATGTGGGGACAGGTCATCAGGAGAGCCTCAGGGGCTCTCCCTGAGACCCCCTAAGGGAGGTTAAGGGGCTGCTCCATCCAGGGCAGCTCCTGCAGGGGACCTTGAGTGAACTGAGGCTCGCCTTCGTAACTGTAAGACTTAGGAACCTGAGTGCTTACACAGACTCTCCAGAGTTTTAAGTGTTAGCCAACAATTAACATAAAACATCTCTTGTGGTGAAATTGGAAGTCCAGGTGACACATCCTGGATTCTGCATGTGACATCTGTAATTAGAGAATAGATGCCATTTTCCCACTTACCATGTACTGAATGTTTTCCATGTTTGTGTAACCGGCTAGAAGCTATTTACAGCAATTACATAACTCTCGGGATGTGTTGGATTTGCCTTTCATCTTACTCCCTGGTATATGCCAAGCTTGTTGGGTGGAGTCTCGGATACACCCGGCCTGGCTCATTGTTTCAGTGCCTTCAGGACAAGCAGCATAGAAATAACAAATGTGCCTCAGCCTCCAGGGCCTCAGAGACCTCAGGATGCCAGCTGGGAGGCCATCAGCGACCCAGCTTCCAGTCAGTTTCAGTATCAGCTAAGGAAATGAGTCTTGTCTAAGATGGCTGTACAAGGGAAAGGTTACCCAGTTTGGGCAAACTGATAGAAGGGAAGTATGCATATGTGTGCATATTTGCATGCATGTCTGCATGTAGGTGCATGTGTATGCATGTATGTGTGCGTGTGCGTGTGCGTGTGTGTGTGTGTATTGGAGCTATGCTGACTCTACAAATTTTGAGGAGAACCAGAACTTATATTATTGAAACTTTTATCCAGATTCTTAGGGTAGACACACACACACACAAACTCCACATGCACACTTATACATACCCTTTGTTGTATTGTAAACAAATATCCTTTTCTCCCATTTTTATGTGTGTAAGTATGCATGTTCATCCGTCTGTGAACATGTGTGTACCCTGTATGTAAATGCCTGTGGAGACCCAAGGTTGATCTAAGAATCCTCCCCCTTCACTCTTTTATCTTGTTCACTGAAGCAAGGTCTCTCAGTCAAGCCCAGAGCTCACTGATATGGCCAGTTTCACTAGCCTGCTTGCTCTGGGGCTTCCCGTGGCTGGCTTCCAGGCCACATGGTGATTTTGCATAGGATATGGGCATCCTCACACTTGCATGACAAGCGCTTCACCAGCATCCGCGCTGTGAGCAGCATCGTTCAGACACATGTTTTCTAACTGTCACAGCCTTCTAGAGGAGTACACTTTAGTTCTGTGCCAGTTCACCTCCAACTCAGCACTGGTTTTCCAAAGACTCAGGTTTTCTGTATCCACAGCTCCCTTCTCATTAGGGAGCATCTTTCTCCTCTTCCATTTCTTTGTCATGTCTTATTGCAAAGGCTAAACACACGTTTGATATTGTACTGAAATATTTGTTTCTTGTCACAACAGGAATTCTTTATTTCTTCAAATAAAGAATTGACTGGGGGATTTAGGGTTGGTGTGTTCTGTCAGGTTTCAGCATACCTTCCCAACCTGAGATTTCTTAGTGATACAGAAGGTTTGCTTTGTTTTGTTTTTGTTGTTGTTGTTTTTCTGAGACATGGTTTCTTTGTATCCCTGGCTGTCCTGGAACTTGATCTATAGACCAGGCTGGCCTCTGTCTCCCAGAGTTCTGGGCTTAAATGTGTGCCCCTCACCCTCAGCTGTGATATAGAACATGGAACTTTCCAGGCTCCTTGCCTTTCCCAACATGATTAACTGTGAGTCATTAAATACACTGTGAGCCCTTCCTGTTTGCCACTGACTGGTCCCTGGCCAGGACTTACTGACACTTGTCCATCTACTCAGGGAGAGGCCAGTCATTTCCATTTGTGCTTGTTCATCACTGGGAATAAATGCTTAGCATAATTTAATAAAAGCCATGTGTGTTGAGTGTATACTGTCACCCCAGCACGCAGGAGGTAGAGGCAAAAGTATCAGGAGTTCAAGACCATCTCTAGCTACATAGTGAGTTAAAGACCAGCCCGTGCATGGGACCCTATCTTAGTCACTGTTCTATTGCTGTGGTGAGCCACCATGACCTTAGAAACTCTTAGCATTTAGTTGGGGCTTGGCTTCCAGTTTCAGAGGGTTAGTCCATTGTCATGGCGGGAAGCATGGCAGCATACAGGCAGACATGGTGCTGGCAAAGTAGCTGAAACTTTTACATCTAGATCCACAGGCAGCAGAAAGAGAATGCCACTGGCCCTGGTTTAGGTTTTTGAAACTTCAAAGCTCACCTCCAGTGACACACTTCCTCCAACAAGCCCATGCCACTCTAACAAGGGCACACCTCCTAATTCTTCTCAAGTAGTGCCGTTCCCTGACAACTAAGTATTCAAATATATAAGCCTATGGGAGCCACCACAGACTCCATCTCAGAAAACAAAAACAAAATTCAAACTAAAAATATTTATTTGGCTCACACCATCCCCGCCCCCAGGAGTCAGTGAACGCTTACCACTGGTCTCATCCAGACCATCTTGGTGTGTGTTTATTTATTTTGAAATTAATCTGCCTTTCCAGATATGCAAAGATAGGAACTGGAATACAAAGACTAGTCACAGAAACAGGGTGAGGACAGCTCACGTTGGCTTCTAGACCTTTTATTTTTATTTTTATTTTTATTTTTATTTTTATTTTTATTTTTATTTTTATTTTTTTTGAGGCAGGGTTTCTCTGTGTAGCTTTGGCTGTCCTGGAAGTTGCTCTGTAGACTAGACTGGCCTTAGATTTACAGAGATCTGCCTGCTTCTGCCTCCTGAGTGCTGAGATTAAAGGTATGCTCCAACAATGCCTGGCCTAGGATATTCTTAAAGGGGTGTGGTCATTTGAAAGAAAATGGCCCCCATAAGCTCATAGGCAGTGGCACTATTAGGAGGTATGGCCTTGTTGGAGGAAGAGTATCTCAGTTCCCTTCCTGCTGCCTGTGGATTAGATGTAGAACTCTCAGCTCCTCCAGCACCATGTCC